ACTCTGTGTATGGAGGGGGTGGGAATGATCATTGCCATAAAGATTTGTTCCCTCATTTGAGCTTCTACATCCATAGGCATAGGTCAGGTTTATCAAATTGTATCAGATTGCTCTTTTTTCCCTCTTCTTTCTTCTTCTAGTTGAGCTCTGATCATCCAGTCATTGAAACCAGGTTAAGTGGGTATTATCTGCAAGTGTGGCTGTTCTTGTGCATATGCCTTCTCTTCTTATCAGCTGGATGCTTCACTCTCTACTCTAGTCCTCTGTGGCTATGTCACTGACTCTGGGCCCAAGAGTCCCCAGGTCTTGTCACACTGCTGGCCAACCAGGTCTCCACCCGGATTCACAGGAAACTATTGAACATTGTAGGGCTTAGCTTGCAACTTCATTGCTGTTTTCCCCCTCACTTTCCCTTATTGATGGCGAACGTGGTCACCAATCAGAGCATGTATTCCCATTGAGTCTTAGTCTTGGAAGGGGGTTTGCTCTTGGCTTGATGTCTCCTGGGTGAGCAACTTGCTTGTTAATGTAATCAGTCGGTCTGCCTATATTGTTTTGTATTTTTCCTGTCAGTCTTACTTTCAAGAAGTATCTTCTATTCTTCTAGCCGCTCCAGGCTGGGCTGCTTATCCTTCCAAGTGGAAATTTCCCACCTCTGAAGATTCTGGATGCTGTTCAGCAGCCAATCTTTTATATTATGTTGTATACAGCTAGTATATGAATATGTCTTCTATTAATGTCAGTTTAAAAAAACTATAACATAATACTGTACAAGTATATTAAAGTGTATATGAGAAGTCATTGATTGATAGCATATGACAGTATAATTATGAATTAATTGTATAGAGAGCTCAAAAAGATTGAACTGATTGAAGATCTGTGGTCAATTGATTTTTAGCAAAGAAGCTAAATCCATTCAGTGGGGAAGGAACAGTTTCTTCAGCAAATTATGCTGGCAAAACTGGATTTCCATGTGCGGAAAAAATAAATGAGATATACCTTTCACATCAGACACAGAACAGAACAAGGAAACACTGAATAGTTTAAAATTAGGGAAGGTGTGTATCAGGGTTGTATTCTTTCAACATACTTATTCAATCTGTATGCTGAGCAAATAATCTGGAAGCTGGATCATATGAAGAAAAACATGACATCAGGATTGGAGGAAGATTCATTAACAACCTGAAATAGCCCTTACTTGCTGAAAACAAAAAGGACTTAAAACACTTACTGATGAAGACCAGAGACCACAGCCTTTAGTATGAGTTACACCTCAATGCAAAGAAAAAAATCTTCACCATCACCACTGGACCAACAAATTGCATCCAGATAAATGGAGAAAAGTCTGCAATTACTAAAGACTTCATTTTGCTGGGATCAACCGTCAACACTCATAGAAGCAGTAATCAAGAAACCAAATGCATATTGCATTAGGCAAATCTGATGCATTAGACCTCTTTAAAGTGTTCAAGATCAAATATATAAGTTTGAGGACTAAGGTGCACTTGAGCCAAACCATAGCATTTTCAATAGCCTCATATGCATGTGAAAATTAGACAATAAATAAGATCATTGATGAACTGATATATTTGAGTTATGGTGTTAGAGGAGAATATTAAAAGTACCATGGAGTGCCAAACAAACAAGCAAATTTGTGTTCGGAGAAGTACAGCCAGAATGCTCCTTTGAATCCAAGATGGTGAGAGTTAGTCTCTCATACTTTGGATGTGTTATCAGGAGGGACCAGTCCCTGGAGAAGTACATCATACTTGATAAGTAGAGAGTCGGCAAAAAGAGGAAAACCCCCAGCGAGATGGATTGGCACAGTGGCAGCAGCAATGGGCTCAAGTATAGGAATGGTTGTGAGATTGGCACAGGACCAGGCAGTGTTTTATTCTGTTGTATATAAGGTCTTTTTGAGTCAATACTGACTTGACGGCATCTAACAAAAACAACCACAATTTTTAAAATAATGTGCCCACCACTTAAAGAACAGGAACACACATAACTTGCATAGCACACATAAGAAACTAACAGATGATATGGTTATGCTGTTTGTAAAAACAGGATAACATGTATTATTTATGTTAAACTATAGTAATTAAAAATGAATCAGGCACCTAAATAATAAACATAAAACCATAAATTTCTTGAAAGAATATCTAGGAGCAAAGTTTGGGGAATCTAATTTTTATCAATGATAGAGTAACAGTCACAACAATGAATGCACAAGTAACAGAAAACAAAATAGGTAAATTGTTGTTGGTGTTGTTAGGCATCATCAAGAAGGTTCTGACACATAGTGATCTTATGCAAAACAGAATGAAATACTGATTGGTCCTGTGCTATTCTAAAAATTGTTATGCTTGAGCTCATTGTTGCTGAGGTCTTCCTCTTTTTTGCTCACCCTCCACTTTAACAAACATGATGTCCTTCTCCAGAGAATGATTCCTTCTAACAGCATGTCCAAAGAACAGGAGACAAATTCTCACCATCTTTGCTTCTGGCTATACTTCTTCCAACACAGGTTTGTTTGTTCTTCTAATAGTCCATGGTACTTTTAATACTCTTCTACAAAACCATCACTCAAATGCATCAGTTCTTCTATGATCTTTCTTATTCATTGTCCAATTTTCACATGCATGTGAGACTACTGAAAATACCATGTCTTGGGTCAGGCAAAACTGAGTCCTAAAACTGAGGACGTTAAATTGCTTTTTGGCAATTTAAAGAAGTGTTTTGCAGTAGATTTGTCCAATGAAATATATCATTTGATTTCCTGACTGAGGCTGATTATAGATCCAAGAAAATGGCGTTTATGACAACTTTTTTTGGTTTGTCAGGATGTTATTTGTTGATATCGTTGTGAGGATTTTCATTTATTTTCCACTGAAGTGCAAAAAAGCAGGACTTTTTGCCTGTGTTTTCATTGTTTATAGCTGATGTTTGAGTTGTACCCCTGGTCAGAAAAGATGCTAACCAAATATTAGTTGAATAAATACTTGCTTTATCAGAAAGAATGGCATATTTGGAGTAAGGAGATACCTACTCAAGTCTCAACCAAGGTAATTACCAGAACTAAAAATGTACCTCTTTTTTCTGGCCAGTATATTTTTGTCTTCTTGAACTGTGCTCAGCATAGTTTTTGTTGTTAAGTGCCATCGAGTCAGTTCCAACTTATAGCAACCCTGTATGGGGTTTCCAAAGAGCATCTGGTGGATTTGAACTGCTGACCTTGTGGCTCTCAGTCTAGTGCTTACCCTAGAGCACCACTGCTTAATGGATATTTCTTAATGCCTGATTTAAAGATAAGCCCACAAGAGATGTCTCTTTTTTTTTCAAAGAATCACACTGAAGAGCTCATTTGAATTTTATGTTTCTTACTTTGATATGAAATACAACTAATGAGAAACATCTGAATCCGTTGAGAAACTATAGTTGTTAAAATATAATGCATATTTCTTCTTTTCTTATAGCAAAGATAGACACATGAGCATACCAAAAGAAGTTTAATAAAGTTTGAATACTAATATAGAAACGTAATCAGATGCTACAGAATATGACAGAGAGTTGGAAAAGATTAAACAGTCATACCTCACAATCGAAACCTGTTGTTGGGGTTAGCATGTCCAATGGAGTGAAGTCGGATGGACCTGTTATAACTGAAGCAAATGTCTCCATTAGGGATATAATAGCAATCATATATAGAAATCATATGTGATAGAAGCTGTGCTAAGACATTCTACATGGATTATGTCACTTGTTCCTCACAAGAATCTTGAAGCAGATTCTAAAACTATTGTTATTTTACAAATAAGGAAACTAAGATGTTGAGAAGTAAAGTAGATAAGTGGCAAAGGCAAAATCTGAATTTGGGATTTTTTATTCTAGAGCCCTTGCTTTGAACTACCATTCTATAAACACCTTCATTGTTCCGGTATCAACACAATTGCCTAAGTAGGTAAAAAGACCAATGGTGTCACTATAAATTCCTCAGGTGTTACAAATGATGGCATGACTCTACTGACCTAAACAAAATGGAGTTGGTTTAATCATTAAGCCTCAAGTGAGGACCCTGCAAATGAAGTTTATAGATTAGATAAAATGATCTTATGGTCCTAGATGGAGAATATGACAAGAAGAACAAGATGTGCTTAAACCCACCCAGATAGTTGTCTTAGGAATTAAGCAGCTGAGACCCTAAAGGTAAAATGTTTGAGGAAATTTCTTGATTTATTGTTTCCTTTTCCCAAAGAATGCTATCTTGATGTTAAAATAGATTAAGTGTACATCCAAATGTAACTTACCCTATATAATGTGCCTGCTCTTCATAATGGGCAGGACAGTCTTGAGAAATTATTCTCTCTGTCCTTCAAACTGCTGGCTTTCTGCTAATAAAGTTTGGATTGGATCTCTCCCAGTCTCTATGACTGACTACAGTGAGAGGTGGCAAACCCTCATTTTGGTTTGGCAACATTACTAATGTTAACTTTGCTGAATTTTTAAAAGAAGTGAGTGATGATAATTTCTTTCCCATGGTGAACCCACTCAGATAAGTCAGATAATTCTATAATGTGCTATTTAACCACAGTCTACATGGTGCCATTGCCCACATGAAGATCCCAGTTAGTGGATGAGGTACAAGGGTGATCTGTGGGAAGGGTGGGAAAGGGAAGAAAGATGTGATTGATAAACATATGTGTAAGGCACCTTCTAAAGCTTTTTGTCAGTACTGGAGGCATTTCTAAAATGCTCAGATTGAATATAGAAGGACCAAGATGGAGGGCTGAAATTTCACTAGCTTTAATGCTGTTTCACACTTCATACTGCTTAAAAATTACTGCTATTCTTCTGTAGCTACTGTAACAAATTACTACAGATGTAGTGATTTAAGGACAACATTAATTTATTATCTTGCAATTCTAGAGGTCAGAAGTCCTAAAAATCAAGCTCAGCAAAGCTACATTTCTTCTGAAGACTCTATAGCAGAATACACTTCCTAGCCTTCTCCAGCTTATAGAGGGCATTTGAAGTGTTTGGCACATGGTCTTTACCTTCATCTTCAAAGAGGAGCATAGCATCTTTCTCTCTCCCTCTCTCTTTGTCTTCTCCTTCCCTTCTATCCTGACTTCCATTATCATCTTCAATCTCTGATTCTGACCCTACTGTCATCCTTTTATAAGGACCTCGTGGTTACACTGAACCTACTCAGATAATTCATGATCATTGCCCAAAGTTAAAATCCTTCCTTTAATTACATCTGCCACATCTCTTTCACCATGTAAGGTAGCATATTTACAGATCTAGGGATTAAGGTGACATCTTTGGAGGGTCATTATTCAGTCTACCACAATGCTAAATTAATTCTATAGAAGTTTAACAACATTGATTTTTAAACTTATTGTATAAATTCTAATTTTCAGAATAGATCAAGTAGAACAAAAATTTCCATTCTATGGTGCTATGAATAGTGCTGTTGATATAGCAGACACTGCATCTTCTAGGTACACTCTGTACAACAGAAAAAAACACTGCCCAATCCTGCACCATCTTTATAATTACTGTTACCTTTGAACCCATGGCTGCTGCCACTGTACCAATCCACCTTGCTGAAGATCTTCCTCTTTTTCACTGACCCTGCAACTTTCTAAGAACACAGTCCTTCTCCAGGGATTGGGTCCCTCCTGATCACTTATACTTTTCCTAAAGCAGATTTCTATGTTCTGTGGCAATCCACATTACTTTCAAGAATATTTTCCAACACCATAATTAAAATATATTGATTCTTCTGTAGTCTTCCTTATTTATTACCCTACTTTCACATGCATATGAGTCAATTGAAAATACAATGGCTAGGGTCAGGCACAATTTAGTCCTCAAAGGGTCATCATTGTTATTTAACATTTTAAAGAGATCTTTTGCAGCAGATTAGCCTAATGCAGTATTTCCTTTGCTTTCTTGTCCATGAGCACTGACTGTGAATCTGACCAAAATGAAATCCTTGACAACTTCAATCTTTCCTTTGTTTATCATGATGTTTATTATGATGGTCCAGTTGCGAGGAGGATTTTAATTTTCTTTACACTGGGATGCAATCGATAACAAAGACTATTGTCTTAGATCTTCATCAGTATTTTAAATACTCTTTGCTTCTAGCAAGCAAGGTTTTGTCACCTGCATATCACAGGTTGTTAAAGAGTCTTCCTGCAAACCTAATGCCACATTCTTCTTCATATAATCCTGCTTCTCAGATTATTTGCTCAACATACAGACTGAATGTTGTTGTTGAGTGTCCTCAAATCAGTTATGACCCATAGCAATGCTGTATAGGGTTTCTGAGGAGAGAGTGGTGAGCTTGAACTTCCAACCTTGTTCATGGCAACTTTGCTGTCCAGCACATTAACCCACAGCACCACACCAGGACTCAAATAAGTATCATGAAAGGCTACATCCCTGATACACACCTTTTCTGATTTTAAACCATTCAGTATACCCTTGTCCTGTTTGAACAATTGCCTCTTGTTCTATGTACAGTTTCCTCATGAGCACAATTAAGTGTTCTGGAATACTCATTCTTTGCAATTTTATCCATAGTTTGTTATGACCCACACAATCAAATGCCTCTGCATAGTCAATAAAGCACATATAAATATCTTTCTGGTATTATCCGCTCTCAGTCAAGATCCATCTAACATGAGCAATGATATCCCAATGAGATAAATTGATATGTAATTCAGATGCCACAAAATTCATCATTTAAATTGTGCAACTCAATAGTTGTGGTATATTCACAAGGTTGTGCAACCATCACCACATTCTAAGTTTAGATCATTTTCATCTCTCCCAACAAAACACCATATCCCATGAGCAGTCACTATCCATAACCCCATGCCTCTAATCCTAAGAAACCAGTATCGACTATTTTTTTGGCTTTGTCTATTCTAAATATTGTGACTGACTCTTTTAATATACCATAATGTTTTCAAGAGTCATCCATGTTGTAGCATGTATTGGTATATCATTTCATTGTCAAATAATGCTCTACCCAATTAAAATATTATGTTTTGTTTAGCTATTCATCAGTTGATGGACATTTGCATTGTTTTTGCTTTACCATAAAATGAATAGTGATGCTATTAGCATCTACATAGAGAATTTTGTGCTGATATGTTTTCATTTTTCTTGGGTATATACCCATGAATGGAATTGCTGAGCTATATGGTAACTCTATGCTCTATGTTTAACATTTTGAGGAGCTGCCAAACTGTTTTCCAAAATGTCTGCACCATTTTAAATTCCCAACAACAACAAACGGGAGTGGAATTTCTCCACATTCTTGCCAACACTTTTTAATCTGTCTTTTATTACTAAGGCTATCCTAATGGTGGAAGGGAGTACAGTGGCTCTGTAGGATAAGCCTTGGACTGTGAACCACAAGATCAGTGGTTCAAGTTCACCAACCAATCCAAAGATGAAACTTTCTACACCTGCAAAAATTTACAGCCTAGTAAATACTATACCACATCACTGTGAGTCAGAAACCACTCAATGACACTTGACAACAACCAGTGAGTGTGAAATGTATCACACTGTAGCTTTTCTTTTCTTTTTCTTATGATCAGTGGTGTCCAGCATCTTTTCATGTGCTTTGTTTACCTTCCTTGGAGAAGTATCTATTATGATCCTTTGCCCATTTTAAAATTGTATCTTAGCCTTTGACTGTTGCATTGTAATTGTTCTTACTATATGCTGGATATATCTCTTATCAGATGTATGACTTGCAAATATGTATATTTTATATTCAGTGAATTGTCTTTTCACTTTCATATTGATCTTATTTGCAGCACAAAATTTTTAAGTCAAAATTTTCTTTTGTTTCCTGTGCTTTGAATAACATATCTATGAACCATTGCTCAATACAGGATCACAAAGATTTATTTCTCCACTGTTTTTTAAGAGTTTGATAGCTTTTGCTATTACATTTAAATCTTTGATCCATTTTGTTTATTTTTGTAGATGGTTTGAGAAACTATATGGTCTATAGCTATCCTTTGCATACAGATGTATAATTGTCCAATATAATTTGTTGAAAAGACTATTCTTTCTCCACTGAGTTGTCATGACTCCCTTATTGAAAACCAATTCAAAATGTATGCACTTATTTCTAGCCTCTTACTGCTACCCCACTGATCTATATATCTATGTTTCCATCTGTGCCACAATGTCTTTGTTATTTTAGATTTCCAATAATTTTTGAAATCAGAAAGTTGAACCTTTCACCTTTGTTTTGTTTTTTAATATTATTTTGACTATTATTGGTATCTTGCATTTCTGTATGATTTTTAGGATAATCTTATCAATTTCTACAAAGAAGTTGGATGGGATTTTAATAGAAATTGCATAGAATCTACAGATCAATTTTGAGAGTATAATATTAAGACTTCCAATTCATGAGCAAATTATGTCTCCATTTACTTTGATCTTAATTATTTCAATAATGTCTTATAGTTTTTATAATTCAAGTATTACACTTCTTTTGATAGATAAATCCCTAAGCATTTCACTCATGCTGTTGTAAATGGAATAATTATTTTCATTTCATTTTGGGGATTATTTTTTTTTTTTAGTGCACAAAATTATAATTAATTTTTACATATTGATCTTGTATTCTGTTATCCTTCTGCATTCACTTACTAGTTGTAATAGGTTTTGTTGTTTCTTAGGATATTCTAAATATAACATCATGTTTTCTGAAACAGAAATAGTTTTACTTTCAAAACTATTCTAAAAATAGAAATGGTTTTACTTTTAAAATAGTTTTCTTACCCCTCAGGGTCATTGTTTGGTGCTGTGAGTTTAGCACCAGACTGCAAAGCCGTTTGAACTGCAACGTTGGTGGTTCAAGCTCACCAGCTGCTCCTTGGAAACCCTATGTTGTTGTTGTTAAGTGCCATCGAGTCGGTTCCGACCCATAGCGACCCAGTACAGGGTTTCCGAGGGTGTAAATCTTTACGGGAGTAGAAAGCCTCATCTTTCTCCCGC